GGTTCTATACCATCTGTTATCATATTTTTCAACCTTATTCTATGCTTTTATTAATGGTTGTTCTAGGATCCTTATTTTAGAATGACCCGGGATGTAGCACCTAGAATTGGACAGCCTAAACCAGCCTTACTGCACTCAGTCTTCTTCCCAGCCCTGCAAGGAGCACAGACAAAAATGAGTGCTAGTGATCCCAACTCCTCCATCTTCCTCACTGATACACCCAAACAAATCAAGACAAAGGTAGGGACCTGCAAAACCTGAGCGCACAAAGCTTTATAACAAAAAGGAGTGGTCGTCCTCACAGTTACAATGACAATTTTTTAATGTTTTCTTTGAACATATCTGAATCCTTTTTCCCATACATCTCATGGCAGAGTATCTTCAGGAATTGACAGAGTTATGCAAATTTAGCTAGATTGTCAAATATAGTCTTTTTCCTTGCCAACTAGTCTAACAGGACAAACACTAGCTAGAATAAAGTACAAAACAACATGTTTGTTTATCTGATATCTGCAGAGCAGTGGTGTAAGAATAAGAGCTGTGGAGCCTCATGCTCTAAAAATAAATATTGTGTTGCCATAGTTTTGAAATCTGACAGTCCATCATGTAAATCAAATAAATAGCTCTTTCTCTTGAGTGCCTCTCTGTGCTGGGAGCACCAAGCATTGCACAGTGCTGGTTACGACACAGGTCCGACTGTTCCTGTTGCTTGCGGGTCTGCTGCTGCCATACACTTCTCCCTCCAATTCACAAAAAAATATGTTTCATCTAAGCTTTAGAAGGGATATTTCCTCCTATTTGAGTATATTCCTAGTGCCTTTTCAAGCTCAAAGGAAAATCCCTCTTAACCAGTGTTAGGTGATTTAATTTGGCAAAAGTTCACCTGTGTTGCGGTATTTAAATAAATAAATAAATAAAAATCAGTCTTTGGAAAAGTATTTGTATGCATGATAACCAGACATGAAATAACTAGCTGTCAAAACAAGAAAAAAAAAAGTGTTTGTTTCTGCTGGGTGGGCTTGGGTTAATTCTCTAACAGTTGACAAACCCATGTATAGGTCAGATTCTTCTACAGCCATCTCGTAATGATTCATTATCTTACATAGAAACTGATTAAACAGTACTGTTTTGAAGAATTTGAATTCTTCATGTGTTTGGATTATAATAATTCCAGTTTATTTGCACAGTTACAGAGCTGCTTTTTAAAAAAATCTATAATTTCAGAATAGAGGATACATGGTTAGTGGGGATGTTGGTAACATGCTTCTATTTTTTTCCTGGCAAATAGCTAGTAATCTGCAAAGATGTCCAAGATGCCTTATGTAAAGTTCATAAGTCCTATTTCTGCTATCTTTAAACCAGTTGGAAAAATAACAAAATAATTCTAGCTACTTGGAATATAAAAGCTATAAAGACAAAATTACGAACATAATCTAAAGTGTTGACTAATGGAGGACAAAGAGATTTATTTCAGCTTCTAAAACTTATCAGAAACAGATGCTCATGAAAACAGAGCTCGAGTGAAAGACCAAATATTATTACGGCCAGTAAATAAAAAAATAGAGTAGGAAAGGTGACTTCCGGTGATGGATGAAGGTTAAAAACAGAGTGCCACTGCTGCACAAAAAAATTACTGCTTACAGCATTTTTCAGAACTGGTACATTGCTAAGTAATGAGGTTCAAAAAGTTACAGGTAATAGAAGATGAAAAATTACTAGATATTGGGAAAGGCTGAGAAGCATCTGGGAAATCCAAGGAAATGAATGGCAACATTATAATAAACTATTCTTATTTCACCTATTACCACTAAATTACAGCTCATTTGTTAGTTTTCCTAGAAAGTGTTATTTAGATTCTAAGTCTGTACTAATTCAGGGAAAACATCAGTGCATGACTATAGATAAATCATTGAAACCCTCAGTCAACAAGTAGATGCCACAATATGTAAAAAATGAACTTGAGATTAATATAGGAAACATTTCATATAAAACAATAATGTGCCTTCACCTGGAATATTGTATTTAATCCCTCTCACTTTAGTAAGGAGACAAAATATAGAGATAAGGGATGTAGAAAAAATTTCATACGAAGACTTTCGAAATCTAGTAAGGAGAGATGTGAGGGGAAGTGCAAGACGATATGTAAAAACTTAGTTTTACGGATACTGAGACAGCTAGTCAGACTTCCTGCAATATAAGAATAGATGTAACGTGACAGATGGCAGTTTATTTTCTTAAGATACCCATCAGTGCATCATTTTTGTATGTAATTCGTTGCCATAAGGCATCTGTAACATGGTGGTTAGGAAGATTCAAAAAAAGCACTAGAGAGTCCTACAGATAGTCAGAATGCTCAGAAATTGTAAATATGTAACAGTTCCTAGATACCAGAACTGGGAGGGGCAGAAATCTACTTCATATCTTCATATGCATTTGTGTCTCTTGGCTGGTTGATGATGATACCTGAAAAGATAAAAGAGCCAAATGAAAGATCAGCTTATGGTTGAGAAATACTTTTTTTCCTCTTCCTGGCAATTTATTTTCTTTAAATTTGCAGGAAGATTAGCATCCTCTGAGAACTCTACACATGTATAAATATTTAAAATAGGCTGGTGGCTTCCGCATTTTCTGGGAAAGGGATTAGCAGGCAGATCTACTCACCAGTGCGGTTCATCTCCCCATAGAAAGCTATGCTTAAAAAGAGGAGGGGAGAGTCAGCAAGTATTCCATTTTTAGACTGAACAATTAGCTATTTGTCTAATTTTAGCCATTCTAGACACAGTTTTGTAATCTTTAACTTTGCTTTCTCCTGTTTTCCTTTTCTCTGAAAAGAGGAGGAGACTAGGTTCTCTCTAGGATTTCTTCAAAATTCTCTATGCCTTCCTCATCACTTTCAAAATTATTTCTTGACAAAGTTAATATCTTACTTTTTCTTACATGAAGTAAATTTCTTGTAAGCACAAGTTCTGTCCAACCAACAACAGTTTCAGCAAAAGGGACTTAAAACTTTTTTGAGTGAATCTAGGGTGGATTATTTTTAATTTCTGCTTCATTTTCATTCTGACTATGCAGTCTGAGGAGTATGTGTATAGCCATTTTTCCCTGCTGGATTCTAATGACATTCTTTTGCCTCCCTGCTTTGGTCCCAAGGCTCTGCATTAACTTGCCCCACTCATGCTTCAGCTAGTCCTTAATATAGAATTTGGAGGAACGTGATACACCTCTGTTTACAATATAATAATTCAGAATTTAGTAGAAATTACACTATAACATCATTATGTTGTTTCAGATTAACAGGCATGCCTTCTCAGGAGGCAGGGATACTATTGAAGAGCACAGGAAGTACGGAGGTAACTGTGACGTTGACGTGTCTTTTATGTACCTGACTTTCTTCCTAGAAGATGATGACAGGCTTGAACAACTGAAGCAGGTAAGTAGCCAAGTTGATGGTAATACTATTCATTCCTTACTGTGAGGACAAAGCTGTAACTAAGTCTTCCTATGAACCTTCTCCAGGAAGGGAATTGTGGTGTTATTCTTACACTCTTCATCCTTTGCAAGTTTCTGTATTTCTTACAGTCCAATCTACCTCTTATTTAAAAAAAATGAAAATTCCCTAGTAAGGATCTCCAACACTGTGTAGGACAATATCTCTCCTACTTTTCAAATAAGGCCACCTTAGGATTAGTGTTGTTTTAATTGTATAATACACTCTGCCTGTTCCTTATGTGCAAGGTACGTAGATACTCTGCAAAACTACAAAAACTCATGTCTAAAGCTTGCTGGTTTTGGGGGTTTTTCTTTATCACAAGAAATGTAATATGTATGAGGAATTGATTCACTGATCCCAGGCAAAAACTGTTTCATATAAGTTGCATTTTGCTTTGACCTATCTGGCAGACTTCTGTCCCCAGGGGTGGTAGCAAGACATTTCACTTCCTTCAGCTGTATGATCACCATCAATACTAGGCAGCACACGTTCTGTAGAAGGCAGTATCCACAGCTGATAGGTACCCGTGTCACACTGATTTATCAGCTTTTCTTCTGCTGGGAGGAGCTGCAAGGAAGTCAAGAGCGGCATTCTTTCCCACACAAGAGCAGGGTTGGATAGCTACTAATCCCCATGCAGACTGTTGTAAATTCCGCATGGAAATCTGGAGCACATTTCACTTACTGAGCTGTTTTCCATTAGTCTCCAACCACTGCAACAGTATCAGGCTAACTGCTGCAGAGCACAAAGCCTAGACCACAGCTGGCAGCTTGCTGCAATGCTGCCTCAGAACCAGGTTAGAAAACCTGAAGTCACTGCTTATAACAGCATTCGTGGAGCTGTTTTAATTATGGTACCAGTGAACGAAGCTTTCAGAAGTGGATACTCAGAGAAAGCAGTATTGGTGTTTTTATAACAAACAAACAAAACAAAAAACCCCACACTACCTCTTAAAAACCACCACTGAAATTACAAGTTCATTCTTGTTAACATCTTTTACTGTTGCTGAGTGAGCATCAGCAACAGTTACACCTTGAATTGGTGTTACAAATGGCTTGATGCCAAAGGCAGGTAAGATTATCATGTTCACTGCCATTTTAAATCATAGGTGAACTGCCCCAGCCATGGTTTCTAACCAGGGCTGAACTACTCGGCCTGTGCTTCTAGCTAAAGCATTTTCAGTATCGGAGCAATTGAATGAATTGCCAACTGTGAATATGACTACTAGTGTGAATATAGATTGAGTGTTTTTGCTATAAAAAGGTATGTTAACCACATCTAATCTCTTATCCAAATGCAATGAGAGAAAAAATACGAGAATTTGTACCTCTTATTGCAAAAAACAGCTTAGGGTGACTGTTTATTTGGACTGGGATTCTGGGGAGAAAAATACGCGTTTTCCTGCAAATAATTACAGGATTTCCCAGTTAAATTCTTGTGAATGTAGCTTACTCGGTCCGTATAACTTGTCATGTATGAGATTGCCCAGCTGTATTAACCTTTTAAAAGGCAACAAGCAATTTGCAAGTTACACTTTCAGAGTGATACCACATGATCTTCTAAGGCATGTGCTTATTTTTAAGACATCCAAATCGGTATTTGCTAGGGCCAGGCTTTTAAAGAAATATTTGTCACTGAGTTTTCCATATAGCAACATATTTAGCAATCAACACTTTCTTGACAGGCATATACAAGTGGGGAATTGCTCACAGGGGAGCTGAAGAAGGTTCTTATTGAAACATTGCAGCCCTTGATAGCAGCTCATCAAGAGAGACGGAAGCAGGTCACAGATGAAATGGTGAAGCAATTCATGACTCCACGGAAGCTAGCTTTTGAATTTTGAAGAAGCGCGTATGTAACTTACCCCTTGATAAACCAAAACTAAGTAATTGTTGTCTTCTGTTGTATGTCATCACTCCCTGGTTATGTACAGCCTGCAATCAGTGCTTTATAAATATTGCTTTTAATGATTGCTTTTAATGAGTTAATTACAATGAACGTCAGAGTAAAGGAAAAGTTTAAAATAAGACCTGTATCTATTTAAAATCAAAATATACAAGACAGAATTGCCCGATCTTGCAGGAAAGCAGGTCTGTCAGCACAACACTGTATTTTATTGTATTTCATGTTGAAAATATAAATAAAATTTCCATTTTGATGATAAAGCCTAACTTGTAAATTGGTTTAGATATGCTGGTAAGAGGTCATATTGTAGACTAATAACTAGTAGCTCCATTTTCTTTTGTCCTGTGTACCTTAGTTTACTAGACTGCATGTCCTTTGGGCTACTGGGAACATGCTGCAAACAAAAAGATAGTGAATGGTCTAAAGCAGATTACACAGTGACTTAGGCCTGGGATCAATACATAAAGAACGGAGATCTGGGAGTTGAACATGGGAGAAAGAATATCAGGCTGGTTTTGTTATCGTCTTCCTCTTTGACCTGGGGCAAGGTGCAGAAATCTCACTGTACTTTTGTTTCTGCAGCTATTTAATTGGTCTGACTGCCTCTGGAGGAAGGAGGTTATCACAAGGTTGTAAAGTTCCTTCATATTCTCAGGTGGAAGATAGCATAGAAATGCAAATTTTAGTTCCTAGTTACAAAACATACCAAGTGTTAAATTGTGCTGTGAAAATGAACTTGCTGCTGGACACAGGGAGACATCTAGTACTGTCTGTTCTGTTTTACTGCACCAGGTCATTTAAACTAGGGGTACTTATTTTAAGATTTATTTCAGTGAGAAAACATGCTTTGTTAAAATACCTCATGTAATATTTAATTACGTCTTTTCTTCTATCTCCTGAAAAAGAACTTCAATGTCTTTGCTATTATTTATGGAAGAAAAATTCAAATTATTAGCTAATTTGTTTTAATATGTGCAGTACTGAATGCAAACTGTTAGATTTGTCTTGTATTTATATAGAATAGCAAGTTGCTAGCCCAAACATAGTCTTATCTACATCAAATAAAGATACCTTTGATAACACAGGTGGATATTGTGGTATTTGCAAATCATTTAAAAATGTATGGTAGGCACTTGAATGAGGTGTGAAAGATTTAAACTTTAACAGATTCTGTACTGTGGGGCCTAGTGGACATACATTGACTGTAGCATTATTAACAATATATATATAAATTTAAAAACAGAAAAAGCCCACTTTTAATTTGATCGTAAACCTTTGAAGTCAGCTGATTACGCTTGGGTTGAGGGAGAAGTTTCAAGAGTGAGACTTCTCACTGACTTCAGTAGAACTTGGATCAGCCTTTTAGTACATGAGAACGTGCTGGGCTATTCGTACTGCCTGGAGCTGGTGCCGCTGCGTTCCCACCAGTAGTAGTTCTGTAACAGCGTACACATCTTCTCCAGCAATGATCTTGCATTTCCAAGATGAAAATGCCCATGTGCCAAGTTGTATATGAAGTGCCCCTGTTAATTTATGTTTGTGCAAGGAACTGAAGAAGGACTACAAGGCAAGTTTAGTCCTATTGCGTGTTTCAAACTTGTGCTGAAAATAGCAATGTTTAGCTTTTCCTTTAGGTGAGCTGGCATCACTAACCTAATGCCATTGACTTTAATGTAAATGTTTACCAGTAATTGTATCTCTATAACCCACAGACATAGTATCTCAGTGTTAACAAGTGTTCAGCAATCAACAGAAAAGTTTATTTTGGTTTTGTTTGTTTGTTTGTTTGTTTTTTAGGTGGTGGAACAATTCTTAGAAAAGAAAAATAGCTTCGTAAATCCAGTAGTAAATAAACTAATTCTTGCCTACTGTAGACTTTAATGATGACCTGCCTGTTCTTGCAGTCCACTCTTTGTCATCTTTAAGCTGTACATAAAAGATAAGACTTAAATTTACTTTTACAAACTCATAATGCAGTTTTCTTCCTTAAAATATTATATGCAGATCTGTCCTGCAAGATTTATTTCATTTATTCAGGAAAGGGAAATATGCTGTAGGAGAAACAGTAGTGTGTTCTATTCTAACTAAGCATATGGCTTAATTTTATAACACAGCAGTTAAAACCTGTTTTGAAAGCTCTAGAAAGAAGATTAATAGCAAAATAATTCAGTATTTGTTTACTGGGCAAGCACCTTACTGAAGTACTCTGATGAATTCTTACAAACATGCTTATGAAGTGATACAGTTTGTGAGAGGAGTCTTGGCAAATTCCTAAATCTATTGCAAATACAATTCATATCCCAGAAGTATTTAAAAGTCAAGACAAGGCCCGTCTCCAAAAGCATGCATGAAATGTCTAAGAATGTTATCAGGCAATGTTCATTACATTTTCCTCAATTTGTTTGTATTTTGTTCATCTCACTGTAATAAAAATGTAACTAAAAGTCTGTATCAAACTTCTTTGATTTTACTCTTTTTATTCCTTTTAAAAGGCTTAATTTACACTTACTTTATTTTTTTACCTCTCTTCCTACCCTTTTAGGTGTTGATTTAGTAATCTGATGGAGCCGGTCCTGGTTTTGATGTCCAGTGCATTTCAAGTAGTGAAATAGGGTGCCCTGTAACCCCCTCTATCCAGTCCTACCAGAGAGACTTCAGATTGCTCCCAGAGCAAGCTAATAAGGGTCAATTCTCCAAAGATTAACTGGTTGCAGGACTGGATGTTGCATTTCCCTGTGTCCAGCAGCCAGCTGAGAAATAGGGGAAGGTCAATGTGACCCGTTTACAATGACGCCTCAGTAGGTTTGGCGTAAAGACTGGTAGTTAAGTGGAAACCTGATCCTCCACATTTGCTGTTGTCTGAAAAACAGAGATCCTGGATAGCCTCACATGGCTCTTCCACAGTCACCAAGAGGCATGCTGAAACCTGCTCAGATATTCATAAACATTGTCTAAGGTAAAGGGAACTATCAGCAACAGGAAAACGTGAAGCAGAATGTGTCTTCTAAAGAAGATTTTATTTTTTTCAAGGCCCCCAACTTTGTTACTGAAAGAAATCATCTGTGCAACATGCTGAAGTCCCTATAGCAATGTAAATCCAGTATCAACCCAGCAATTGTGGTGTCTTCATTCTGTTAGCAGGCCTTCTGCTAGCTAATTTATCAGAATAAATAGTTCTGTGATTATCAGAGTAGCTGAAGGTCAAGCTAATACAAAGAAATCAAAAAAATAAAGGAGTCAAGTTCTGAAATCCAGAAGCCAAACACCCAGCTTGGTCTGTATGTAGTGAAGTACATAATATGTACAATGATATGTCATGTTATTAAACAAAACTTGGTTCATATTTATGTGCCTGTGTTTACAGTACTTACACAGCCAATTCCTTTACCTGTTGGTAGTTTGTATCAGTGTGAATTAGCTGTGAATTCTTGCTCTAAGGCAGGTTGTCACCCATACACGGTGCATTTTTTTTTTTTCCCCATAAAGGCTTGTGAACAGGAGGAATTGCAAAGCAGTTACCTTCCTGAAATAAGCTGCCTGAAGATACAACTTGCCTTTCATGTAGCATTTGTTCAGGCCACATGAGAACGTGCTTTTACACGGTGCTAAATACCCTGAGGCTTACAGTTCTCAGCTCCTCACACTGGTCCACGGTTGTTCCCACTCATTTTCACAGTTCATCTGTAATTCCTGTTTCTTGAAACCAGTTGTATTTCAGTTACACCCACAGGAGGAGACATTTTTAGTCATCTGAATGCATGAGCCTATTGGGAAAGCTGAGCTACTTTATTTTCAAACCTTGGGCTGACCGTGGATGGTGTCAACACTGCCAAACAATAAATGGTTGTTTAGTCTGATTTGCAGGCATTTTTTTTTTTACTGTCTCTGTTCAGAGGATGTGATGCCCGAGAACAAGGTCGGCTGAGAATAACACAGCATAAAGGAGTTTGATTCCAGAAAACATCCAGGCAGAGCTGGGGTAAATCACTACCCAGCTGGGACCGCACTCAGTCAAACGCCTCCCTTGTAGAAAGAGGTGAGGGTAGTGGTCTCCTAAGAGCCATCTTAAAAGGAATTCCAATCTTGAGTCCTTAATTAAATCTTCTGTTATAAGGACTTTCTGGCTAAAGGAAGTTTGGTGCTCATGCTCCAAGATGTAACTGGGGGTGGTAGGTTGCTGAGGCCATAAGCACTTTGGAAGAGAATCCAGATCAGTGTTGAGTCTTTCATTTGACTCCCCTTTAAGGTGACATACTCTGCAGCTGCCAGGTCGTCTGGTCTCTTAAACCTGCTTTGGGATGAGCTGCAAGAGCTGTATAGACTCTTGAGAGAAATAATTATGATAGTCGTTTGATAGCATGGCTGCGAGCATGTTTAAAAAGCTAGTTAAAGGCTTAGATTTCAGGGGGACAGTTCTGGAACTACTCACTGGTCACTCTCTGGAGAGGAAGAGGTCCCCTTTATTCTTTTCTAGTAGCACCTGAAATTTTTAAACTTGTCCTTCTAGTACAAGATCCTTTTTTATATGCCCCGGGTAGCTGACAAGTCCTATCTGCTGCAAAATTACTGTCAGTGTAGTCAAGGTCATGCTATCAACTGGTAAAAGTGGATGTGGATCAGAAGGGCATCAACCCTGAATACAAGAACTCCTTTTAAAAGATAGTCTTCCTGTTTCCCTCAAAAAAATGCACTCTCAGCAGAATCTCACAGGGGCTGGATCCAGTCTGCTCCAGATGTTATCATCCAGGAATTAAAATGGAGACAGAAAACATCTATGCTGCTCCTGAGGCGGGAAGAGCAAATTAAAGTATTTCTGGTTTTAGGGACTTTCCTGCTGAAGCAATAGTGTGGGTGTTGTTTTTTTCAACTGACACGTTGACGAAACTTTATACCTTTGTGAAAAAGAAATAATTGTTAGGAAAGTCAAAAAATCTCTCAAAATGTACCTTTGACAAAAAAACATTGGGCTGTGCCTAACAGCGTAGTTTATATAGTGAGCAGAGCATGCACATTTTAAAACTTGCAAATCTCCATTATACTGTACAACTTTGCAATTCTCCTTTAAGTTGCCTAACCCCACTAGCGCACAGATTTTATGGCAGCCTTTCCTTTGAGAAGCAAAGAGGTTTTGCATGCTTCCAGGATGAGAACAGATTGCCTCCAAAGCTGTGCCAAACTCCGGAGAGCCGCCGTGCCATCAGCCTCCGGGAGGGGACAGATGCTGTAGGGCTCAGGGTTGCGTAGGGAGAAAATCACATGGTTTACGGAACCCGTGCCTGGTTTCACTTTCAATGAGGCCATTAGGGCGATTATGTAAACAGGCCATGTCTGCCACTCATTAAATAACGACAGGAAAAAGCAAGGAGATTTATATTTCAGCTGCTACCAAAGGGATATAATTGTAGAGTGCTTGGGCAAAATTACAGCTGAGAAGGAAAAGTCGCAGCCTGAGGCACCAATACGTAAGTTACTCAGTCAATGTAATACAGGCATTACATGTGAAGAGCACACAGTGGATGGCATTATATCTTACACCAACTCCCCCCAGCTTTTGCCTTGGTCGTGAAGATCATTTTCTGTGTCAGCAGAAACCAAAATCTCTGATCAGACTAGCAGCTTTTTAGAACATAAATATTTGCAAATGTTTCAAGGATCTAAGCAGCGGCTACAGTCTAAATACATTAACAAGATAAAAGGGAGGTTGTATATAAGTCCAAGACTCCCTGATGAGTTTGTAATCCTATAAGAATAAAACAAAGCCGTCAGTCATCCAGCTTTGTGCCGAGATGTCCGTGCTTTTCAGGCTGTCCATCAAAGGAGATGTCATTCAGTTCTTTGTGGATGTTGTGTTACAAAAACCAAACTAAACAAAACACACCTCTGAACTGAGTGGCACAAGCTATTTTTTGTTTGTATAATGATCTGTAAATCTCAGTACAGCTTCATACGTTACAAACACCACCATGTTCACAGGAAAGGCACGAATGCAGTTCAAACCCAGTCCTTTGAAAAGCACTTTTGCACCCTCCTTTCTGACACTTTCTCTAGCGCAGTGGACGAGACCTTTGTACTTGTGCTGGTCTGATTCATCTGTTTGCATCCGTGATTTGATGACATCCATGGGAGTAGCTAATCCCCAGGCCAGGACTCCAGCAAAACCGCCAGAAAGCAGCACAACGAGGAAACCTGCAGGAGTGAAGGGAGGAGCTGTTAACTCGAGCCTTGCACTGATACGGCTACAAGTGTCTCAGATTTACTTAACTTGGTTATCTTCCGTGTTTTTCAGCAGTTATTTTGTCCTGCTCTTGCAGTTGTGACTTTTCAGTGATCTCACACAAACCGCGTGGCCTCTCGATTTCACAGCATATTCATTTTAGCACACGTGATACTGGCTCGTGCAGGGACAGCATCTATTCTAACACCACACAAACGAGATGTGACGCAGCCTGAGAGCACCCACACCCTCTTCAGCTGGGCCTGTTTATTTTCGTAATTCTCAGCAAGCCGCTCTTTGCCGAACGTCACCTGTTTGATCTTTCCTCAGAGTGCTTAGTTGTTTTTTGGAGCCAAATCACAACCAGGAAACTTAAGTGCCTCTACGTTCTGTACCTGGACTTTATTTTCAAGCTCTGGACTGATCCTGAACAGTGGTTTGCGGTGGCTCCCGGGAGGTTTGTCCATGTCTCATTTCTAGTTACACACCCTGTTTCTGCACTGAGAGGGTTTCATACCCATGTACTAGGCACCGGAGGGTGCCAGGTCACTTCGACGAAGCCCTCGCACGCAGGCTGCTGGCCCCTGCGCAGGGAGGGCCCAAATGGCGCCCGGAAGCGAACACACAGCAACCCCACGCGAGGACCGGATCTGGGTGACGCTTGCTGAGAGCCCCATTTCCCTCTTGGCACGGAACTACATAAGCCATTTTTGCAGCTAATGCCAGATGCTTTCCGATACCTACCTGGTTTATTTTTCCCAGCTGGTGTGAGCCAGTCACACAGAGCGGAATAGGTAAGGAAATATATTGCAGAAGAGGAGCAATCCCTGCAGAGTAATGCAGAGCAGCCTTTGTAGAGACCCCCAAAACCTTCCTCCTTGGCGATCACCTTCAGACAGTGCAGAGACCCTCGGTACTTTGGCCTGGGAACAGGCTGGGGAGACGTGACGGACGGATGGGGGTTCCTCTGAGTCTGCATGCGAACCTTCGCCACTTCGCCAGGGCTCATCAGCACAACCTGTAACATCGGAGGACGGCATTTCTGCCCTTCACATTCAGTGTTTTGATCCCCCTCCGGCAAATTCCTTGTCTCCCACCTTTTCAGGCAATAACATTTCCTGAAGCCAGCAAGTTCCAGCCTCCTCCCCTCTGCTAAATCCCACCCAGCAGCAGCAGGACACGCGTGTGAGCTGCGCTCTGCGGGGTGGGAGGCGAGGCGCAGGTCAGAGATATTAAATACCTGTAACCACTTACGAAACCAGGTGGGCATGGAAAGGGGATGTCCTCAGCTATAGGGTAGAATACATCAGGGCTCTTGGATGTATCTGTATTCGGAACCAAGGCCGTAAAGCCTTTAAAAAAAATTAACCTGCGTCGAGTCGTTGCCTGCTAGGAAACGCCTAGAAACCCGACCATCTGGACTGCTCTGTAAGAGGATTGCCCGCGACCGGGCACGCGCTTCTGCCCAGCACGCCATCAGGGCGCCGGGGTGAGCTCCGCCACGCTCGCAGCGCCCGCAGAC